TGGCAGTGAATGATGGACAATCTCCTCACAGATGAAGAAGAGACTTGAAGCAAGAGAAACAAAGAAAAGAGTTCTGAACTGTTATGTAATATCAGTCCTCCTATATGGCAGTGAATGTTGGACAATCTCCTCACAGATGAAGAAGAGACTTCAAGCAAGAGAAACAAAGAAAAGAGTACTGAAATGTTATGTAATATCAGTCCTCTTATATGGCAGTGAATGCTGGACAATCTCCTCACAGATGAAGAAGAGACTTGAAGCAAGAGAAACAATGAAAAGAGTACTGAAATGTTATGTAATATCAGTCCTCTTATATGGCAGTGAATGCTGGACAATCTCCTCACAGATGAAGAAGAGACTTGAAGCAAGAGAGAAACAAAGAAAAAGAGTACTGAAATGTTATGTAATATCAGTCCTCCTATATGGCAGTGAATGTTGGACAATCTCCTCACAGATGAAGAAGAGACTTGAAGCAAGAGAAACAAAGAAAAGAGTACTGAAATGTTATGTAATATCAGTCCTCTTATATGGCAGTGAATGCTGGACAATCTCCTCACAGATGAAGAAGAGACTTGAAGCAAGAGAAACAAAGAAAAGAGTACTGAAATGTTATGTAATATCAGTCCTCCTATATGGCAGTGAATGTTGGACAATCTCCTTACAGATGAAGAAGAGACTTGAAGCAAGAGAAACAAAGAAAAGAGTTCTGAACTGTGATGTAATATCAGTCCTCCTATATGGCAGTGAATGATGGACAATCTCCTCACAGATGAAGAAGAGACTTGAAGCAAGAGAAACAAAGAAAAGAGTTCTGAACTGTGATGTAATATCAGTCCTCCTATATGGCAGTGAATGATGGACAATCTCCTCACAGATGAAGAAGAGACTTGAAGCAAGAGAAACAAAGAAAAGAGTTCTGAACTGTGATGTAATATCAGTCCTCCTATATAGCAGTGAATGATGGACAATCTCCTCACAGATGAAGAAGAGACTTGAAGCAAGAGAAACAAAGAAAAAGAGTTCTGAACTGTGATGTAATATCAGTCCTCCTATATGGCAGTGAATGATGGACAATCTCCTCACAGATGAAGAAGAGACTTGAAGCAAGAGAAACAAAGAAAAGAGTTCTGAACTGTGATGTAATATCAGTCCTCCTATATGGCAGTGAATGATGGACAATCTCCTCACAGATGAAGAAGAGACTTGAAGCAAGAGAAACAAAGAAAAGAGTTCTGAACTGTGATGTAATATCAGTCCTCCTATATGGCAGTGAATGCTGGACAATCTCCTCACAGATGAAGAAGAGACTTGAAGCAAGAGAAACAAAGAAAAGAGTACTGAAATGTTATGTAATATCAGTCCTCCTATATGGCAGTGAATGCTGGACAATCTCCTCACAGATGAAGAAGAGACTTGAAGCAAGAGAAACAAAGAAAAGAGTACTGAAATGTTATGTAATATCAGTCCTCTTATATGGCAGTGAATGCTGGACAATCTCCTCACAGATGAAGAAGAGACTTGAAGCAAGAGAGAAAAAAAAAAGAGTACTGAAATGTTATGTAATATCAGTCCTCTTATATGGCAGTGAATGCTGGACAATCTCCTCACAGATGAAGAAGAGACTTGAAGCAAGAGAAACAAAGAAAAGAGTACTGAAATGTTATGTAATATCAGTCCTCCTATATGGCAGTGAATGCTGGACAATTTTCTCACAGATGAAGAAGAGACTTGAAGCAAGAGAAACAAAGAAAAGAGTACTGAAATGTTATGTAATATCAGTCCTCCTATATGGCAGTGAATGCTGGACAATCTCCTCACAGATGAAGAAGAGACTTGAAGCAAGAGAAACAAAGAAAAGAGTACTGAAATGTTATGTAATATCAGTCCTCCTATATGGCAGTGAATGCTGGACAATCTCCTCACAGATGAAGAAGAGACTTGAAACAAGAGAAACAAAGAAAAAAGTCTTGAACTGTTATGTAATATCAGTCCTGCTATATGGATGTGAATACTGGACAATCTCCTCGAAGATGAAGAAGAGACTTGAAGCAAGAGAAACAAAGAAAAGACTACTGAACCTTTATGTAATATCAGTCCTCCTATATGGCAGTGAATACCGGACAATCTCCTAACAGATGAAGAAGAGACTTCAAACAACAGAAACAATGAAAAGAGTACTGAACTGTTACGTAATATCAGTCCTCCTATATGGCATTGAATGCTAGACAATCTCCTCACAGATGAAGAAGAGACTTGAAGCAAGAGAAACAAAGAAAAGAGTACTAAACTTTTATGTAATATCAGTCCTCCTATATGGAATTGAATGCTGGACAATCTCCTCACAGACGAAAAAGGAGACTTATAGTTACCATAAAAAAGAAACAGTTGAAAGTACATGTATCCTGATATTACATGCCATTTCAGTACTCTTTTCCTTGTTTCTAACGAAGTTTTCTTGCTTCTTAAGAATTTGCTTAGCTTTTGGAAGGCATCTTTCGCTTCGCAATGCAGTTTGGATTTCAGTACAGAAACATTTTACTAAGAATAAAAAACAAAAAAAAGAAAGAAAAACACACACGTACATATCTATTCTGATTCTTTAAAATATTTTTTTTCACATTAAATGTTTCTTTTATTCATAGACCAGATTTTATACTTTGATTTTGGAGACGGAAATATTATTTTTGAACATATGATATTGATAGTTATTTAATAATTTTAGCGCAAGTATGGTAATATAGCCTATAAGACGTAATGGGTTACTGAGTGACAAAATGACAAAATATTATTAAGGAGAGAGAAAAATAAAAGAATATGAATTAAGAAGGTAGAAGATGACTGAAAAGTAAGAAGCTGAAAGAGATTTTCACCAGCGAGAATTTGAGAGAAGAAAATGTTAGCATAGAACTTATGATTGCATCAAGCAATCTAAACTCTAAAATGATGAAACCTAGATGCCAATCTAGTACTGCGCTTAAATTTGTAAAGTCAAGGTACCAAAAAGGAAAACGCTCATCAGAACAATTACTATGAAAATATTTATAGATTTTTCTTTGTATTTTATCAAGAATATCTAAATGCATGTCAGAAACCCCAGACCAAATGTGGCAGCAATATTCAATGCATGAACGAATGGTAGACTTATAAATGTGTAAGGTACATTCTGACAAGAAAAATTGTCTACAACATTTTTTCTCGACAGAATATTATTCCGAACGAGAAACTGAAAGTTTTGTCTAAGTAGATTTTGATAATTGAGAATATATATCACAAAGACAACTGATTGTCAGCAATTCGAGAAAAACGAAGTTATATTTATCGTCTATATCCTTTTAAAGAGTTCGATGTTTGTTAGTAAAGACAATCTCATTTCAGCATATTGCATGTAGACTGTCACAAGAATGCAACGACTATGTGCGATAAAAAAAGAAAACAGATTGAAGCCAACAGAATGACATCATCAGACAGTTCATTTCTCTTTGTAACGAGACAGGCAGATATATTTGGAGAAAGAGGTGTTTCTGATGAGCTTTGAGAATTTTTCGAATATCTCACTACTTTTCGACTGTTAAAAGCTTTCGCATTAAAATTTTATAATTAAAAAAATCAATTTTTTAAATAATTAAACACCTTCGAAAGAAATAAAAAGGTCATTATTTATGATTATTTGCAAGTTTACGATATATTATTGTTTCGATCATTGATATGTTTTTTCTTAATTAATCATGTGTAGGCATTGTTTTTGGCAAGTAATTAGTGTGAGACGAGTAAATATTGTACTTATGAAGCAAGAGAAACAAGCATGAAAAATGAATTATTTTAATATTTTCCCAATAACTGCTTCTGAAAGTTTTTTAAGCATTTCATTCCAAGCAAGGTGACAGTACTAGTACGCAAGGGGCTACAGAGAGTGGAAGTAAAGGAAAAGACTGGCTATACGGGGTGGGGGGTGAGGAAAGGATAAAAAGAATAACGGGGATCAAGGTAAAATGTAGATTGACATTACATTTAAATTTTTGAAGATTAGCTTCCGAGGTTTCCATACTTTTGTTAACAGTTTCACGTTAACCTGAACTATTTGCATCGGACCTGAGGGGTGGCTGCGTCGGCTTCATTTCCATCTTCTTTATTCCGTGTCTCTGTGAAATTGGTGATAATACCTCTTCACAACCTCCTACCCGTTGTAGGTCTAAGCCTTGTTTGACTGTTTACTATGCCTCGATGTCAGTCTTCTATCTCTTCACACACTCTCATCATGTCTTCAGTATTTTCTTTAAGTGTTAAATTCTCCAGTCCCTCTCTTCTCATTATGCATCTCAGAAATGTCATCTGTTTATTTCCAATTTTAGAAATAATTTTAATTTTTGTTCCCATTTTAATTATTGCTTAAAAGGTATTTTCACCACCCTGTTGTAGAACTACATATCAGCTACCCCAAGTTTCCTCTTTATCTATAAGAAAATTTTTTAATATTTAATACCTTATGAAATAGAATGATTGATATTACATAACCCTTCAGCACTTTTTCCCTGTTTCTAAAGAATTTCTTTCATTCTTTTTTTAAACTTTGGAAGTTATTTATGATTCATTTTTCTATTGTGTTATGAGGTATATTGACAACTGAGAAAATATATATATATATATATATATATATATATATATATATATATATATATGTGTGTGTGTGTGTGTGTGTGTGTATGTATATAAACGAAAATATTTTGTTAATTATCTTATCTGCCTTTTTAAATTTACTGTTTGAAAATTAGTATCTGCGTTATCTTACACGCTAGTTTCAATGTTACGTCACCACGTCGTAGTTTTTAAAACTCCCGTTTTATTTTATTTGTTAACCTTTTCATTTATTAAATATATTTAATATGTTTGTTTTTAGACTGTAAGAATATCTTATTAATGATGGTTTATTTGTTTTTATTGTCAACGTTTGTAGTAATTGTAGTAATTTTTTTTAGAATTAGTATGGCATAATATTTTTGCACTCTTCTTCTCTCGCCATTTCTCTCTCTCTATTTATGTTTCTTTGGGGAGAGAACGAAAGACTGAGTGTGGGAAAGAAAGAAAGAAAGAAAGAAAGAAAGAAAGAAAGAAAGAAAGAAAGAAAGAAAGAAAAGAAAGCAAAAAAGAAAGAGGGAGAGAAAGAGATACTTTTAGGGATTGGTTGTAAAAGCTCATATTTCATATAATCTTTTTATTTAAATCATTTCCATTATGAAAAGTCTTTCAGTAAACAGACTTGGGAATTGTTTATTTGCTGAAACTTTTCAGTAAAGGAAGCTAATTTGATATATCCTTTTCGTATAAATTATGTATTCTTTTCGTACAAATTACGTATCCGTTTCGTACAAATTGCGTATCCGTTTCGTACAAATTATGTATCCGTTTTGTACAAATTATGTAACCTTTTCGTATAAATTATGTATCCGTTTCGTACAAATTACGTATCCGTTTCGTACAAATTACGTATCCGTTTCGTACAAATTACGTATCCGTTTCGTACAAATTACGTATCCGTTTTGTACAAATTATGTATCCGTTTCGTACAAATTACGTATCCGTTTCGTACAAATTACGTATCCGTTTTGTACAAATTATGTATCCGTTTCGTACAAATTATGTATCCGTTTCGTACTAATTACGTATCCGTTTTGTACAAATTATGTATCCGTTTTGTACAAATTACGTATGAGTTTTGTATAGATTACGTATCCGTTTCGTACTAATTACGTATCCGTTTCGTACTAATTACGTATCCGTTTTGTACAAATTATGTATCCGTTTCGTACAAATTACGTATCCGTTTTGTATAGATTACGTATCCGTTTCGTACAAATGATGTATCCGTTTCGTACTAATTATGTATCCGTTTCGTACAAATGTGAAATTATCGTTTTATGACTAAGTTGGCAACTGAAGACACTATGTAGATTTTAAGTAAAATGACTCAACAATATAGAAGATTAGATGATTTAGAAATAGTAAAACAGAAATCAAGTATTCTAATCACGGGAATGGTATATCATATTATAAAACCCCATGGTCATACTATAGCCTTACTTTCATTAGAAATATTTACTGTTCAACTCACTGAGAAATGAGTACATCAACTATAGAAAGAATAAGCATAAGAACATAAACGACCCCCCCCAATAAACGGTACTGAAAAGACGCCCCAATAAACGGTACTGAAAAGAATCACACCTGTGTAGAAAAGCTATCTTCATTAGTTACACATTACAGCTACAATACAATCATTATGATCTAGAGCCTGATGTTGTTTGCAATCTATCAAAAAAAAAAAAAAAAAAAAATGCGCCCAGAGCAGCAAGTTGACTTGCGTTACAAGTCACAGAACGGTCATGCCAATGCAGTAGGTAGTAATTTTCCTTAGAAAACCTGTAGAGTTTAAAGTGTAGGTCACTTATTAGACTAATGAGTCACCAGAGACGTCATCAATGGTAAGGAAATCAACGTATGTATTTATGACGAGCAGGGTGGAGTAACGGATAGCGGCTTGGATTGAGGAATCAGAGAGCCGAGGTTGAATTCCACTCGAATCAATTACATTCACTTACATGCTAATACCCTTGGGAAAGGTATGATTCCTCTACTTCTCCTCAAGTTATGAGTAAATACTCTACCGCAAAAGAAATGGCAACCTCGTCATTCATGTATCGAAAGATACATGATCGGCTAAGCGTGTATGTATTAAAGCGATAAAAATCAAAACGGTGAAACTGAAAAAAGTGAAATAAGAGGCAAAAAATGAACGCATCCATAGAAATGATGATGAAAAATATATAAAGTTTATTACATTTTTATATACAATTTTTAATATGCCTCAACATTCTTCTGACTTCAAGAAAGGCGAAGTCGCCACTTTTCATGATCTTTCAGAGCGATAGGTGAAAAGATGTGATTTACACAGGACGAAATCTTATTGGGAAGATGTTATGTGGAGTGACGAAAGCCTCTTTACTCTTAGATATAAGGGACGAGTACGTATTTGGTGTACGCCCGGTGAAACGAATACTCCAATGGCACTGTTTGGGGTGCATTCTCAACAGCAGGAGTTGTTAATTTACACGGGACGAAATCTGATTGGGAAGATGTTATGTGGAGTGACGAAAGCCTCTTTACTCTTAGATATAAGGGACGAGTACGTATTTGGTGTACGCCAGGTGAAACGAATACTCCAATGGCACTGTTTGGAGAGCATTCTCAACAGCAGGAGTTGTTAATTTACACGGGACGAAATCTGATTGGGAAGATGTTATGTGGAGTGACGAGAGCCTCTTTATTCTTAGATATAAGGGACGAGTACGTATTTGGTGTACGCCGGTGAAACGAATACTCCAATGGCAATGTTTGGGGTGCATTCTCAACAGCAGGAGTTGTTAATTTACACGGGACGAAATCTGATTGGGAAGATGTTATGTGGAGTGACGAAAGCCTCTTTTACTCTTAGATATAAGGGACGAGTACGTATTTGGTGTACGCCAGGTGAAACGAATACTCAATGGCACTGTTTGGAGGGCATTCTCAACAGCAGGAGTTGTTAATTGACACGGGACGAAATCTGATTGGGAAGATGTTATGTGGAGTGACGAGAGCCTCTTTATTCTTAGATATAAGGGACGAGTACGTATTTGGTGTACGACGGTGAAACGAATACTCCAATGGCAATGTTTGGGGTGCATTCTCAACAGCAGGAGTTGTTAATTTACACGGGACGAAATCTGATTGGGAAGATGTTATGTGGAGTGACGAGAGCCTCTTTACTCTTAGATATAAGGGACGAGTACGTATTTGGTGTACGCCAGGTGAAACGAATACTCCAATGGCACTGTTTGGAGGGCATTCTCAACAGCAGGAGTTGTTAATTTACACGGGACGAAATCTGATTGGGAAGATGTTATGTGGAGTGACGAGAGCCTCTTTATTCTTAGATATAAGGGACGAGTACGTATTTGGTGTACGCCGGTGAAACGAATACTCCAATGGCAATGTTTGGGGTGCATTCTCAACAGCAGGAGTTGTTAATTTACACGGGACGAAATCTGATTGGGAAGATGTTATGTGGAGTGACGAAAGCCTCTTTAATCTTAGATATAAGGGACGAGTACGTATTTGGTGTACGCCCGGTGAATCGAATACTCAAATGGCACTGTTCGGGGTGCTTTCTCAACAGCAGGAGTTGTTAATTTGTCCAATATCCAGGGAAACACAGACCAACATCAATGCCGCAGCATTCAACGAATTTTATTACTCAATATATATATATATATATATATATATATATATATATATATATATATATATATATATAATATTTACCCGCTGCCCAACACAGCAAGATGTGGCACAATGCCGAGTTTAAAGTATAGTATCCGAGCCCGTACGCTCGGGCAAAATTCCCTATAGACCACGTAAAAAACGGAGTCAGCTTCTGGAGACGAGACTCCGTCCCTGACACCATCCAACATAAACCAGGTAAGTATATATATATATAATATATATATATATATAATAATTAAATTAAATATATATATATATATATATATATATATATATATATATATATATATATATATATATATATATATAACAATTAAATTTATGTATATATATATAGATAGATACACCTAGTGGGCCAGACAAAACCTACCTAGTTTTCACCTAAACGGATCGTCAGGGAAAGTAAGGCCTTACTTTTCCTGAAGATCCATTTAGATGCAACCTAGGTAGGTTTGTCTGGCTCACTATGTTTATCTAGGTCTGCTCTACGGTTGTATGGAGCGCTTTTGTTAGTTAGTTGTTTACTCGTATCGGGTTTTTTTTCTTTGGGCTTCAAACCTGTATCTGGGCGATTTTTTTGTCGGCAGAATTTCATGTTTGTAGCTCTTTCTTTTTTAAAACCTTTTTTTCAATCGAGATTGATTTGAATATTAGCTAATCAAAAATTCGAGGGTTTTTCAAAACGAGTCTAGTTATCTATATTTTATGTATATATATATATATATATATATATATATATATATATATATATATATATATATATATTAAATAAATAAAAGCTTTATCGCAGTATCTTTTCAATCACCTTTAACAAAACATGTATAAAAGAGGGATTCCTGCCAAAATACACAATGTATATACGTGCGTGTGTTTCTCCATGTCTGTGTACTTGTGGAAGCGTGTATATGTGTGTGCAAGACGAATACGTGAAAACTGGTTCGGTGTCTATTTAAAAAAAAAATATGCGAACAAATTAAAGAAAATAAATAAAAATAGACCCTTAACCAGTTTTCAGGTATTCCTTTTACACACACACCCACACACACGCACGCGCGCGCGCATCCACACACATATATATATATATGTATATATGCAAGCTTCCTTGAAAATGACTGACAAGATGTAGTGGGTGAGGTTTTTTTTATATAATTTCTCATGTGTTTGTATAATTTATTTCTTTTCAGGAGATAATTTATATAAAAATTGTCCAAATGTTTTCCAAGTACTTTCAGCTATACTTTTAGCCATTATCAAGGATGAATATATATATATATATATATATATATATATATATATATATATATATATATATATATATATATATATATATATATATATATATATATATATATATATATATATATTCTGTTTATATGTTATTTTTAAGTGCATTTACCGGCCGAGAAATTTCATAAAAATATTTGTCCTCCGACAGGAATCGAACCTGTATCCTACACAGAACCGTCTTATAGCCTAACGTCAGGCTATAGAAAAAGACAATAGGAAAACGATGTAGTTTTAGCCAACACGTTTGAAAAGCCCACAGTGGAAGAAACGCATCGGCTAAAACTATATACAGGTAGGGGTGGGGTGTGTGGGTGTGTGTGTGGATGTGTGTGTGTGTGGATGTGTGTGTGTGTGTGTGCGTGCGTGTGTGCGTGTGTGTGTAGATGTGTGTGTGTGTGTGTTTTGTCTTTGCCTCATGATTCAGGCACATTGTTGATTGGTAAAACCGCAGATGGCAGTCTGGATTTTTAAGAGTGGGTGCAGGAATGGGATTGTGGGTGGGAGAAGGTTACACTGCTGTCTGAAAAATCTTGCTGTGCCTATAAGACCTGTCAGCAGCCTCAGTTACCCATTGTATTTGCCGATAACACAGGAGAT